TTCCGGCTACTCGGAAGGCTGAGGCGGAAGGATCGCCGGAGCCCAGCAGGTCGAGGCTATTGTGGCCGGGAGCAGCCACTGCACTCCAGTCTGGGTGACAGAGTGAAACTCCAACTCAAAAAAAAAAGAAGTGCTGACCATGAGCGGTCTTCTCCATAGGACCGGTTGCTCCTGGGGCAGCCCTTAGAGCTACGTTTCAGATTATCTGTGGAGCCGAATTCCCCCTCAGTCTCGTTCTAGGTGTCCTGAGCATCATCCCCTTATCTATCCCTGGTCTTTGGTCCTTGGCCTTGGTCCCCTTCCACCCCAGCCCCAGGCCCTCCCTGAGCCAAACTCTGTTGCAGATGGTTCTCCAAGATGAAAATTTTGTCAGTAAAGAAGAGTTCCAGGAAGTGGAGAAGAAGCTGGTGGTAAGTCATGGCCTCTGCAGGCTTCTGTTCTTCCCCCATTTCCCAGACTGCCTGTGGTTAGGCAGCGTCCTTGCATATTGGCCTCTGAGAGCCTCCAGCCCCAGTAGCGAGGCCAGAACCTTTCTGTACTCTGGATTCCATGTGCCTGCTGAGAAAAGGGGGCTGGTTAAGGGAGCCTAGGAGACCCAAAGTTGCTTGGGGCAATGAAGTGACTGCTTGCTGCCCCTACAGGAAGAGAAAACTGCCCATGCCAAGACCAAGGTCCTCCTGGCCAAGGAAGAGGAAAAGCTACAGTTTGCCCTTGGGGAGGTGGAGGTGCTGTCCAAGCAGCTGGAGAAAGAGAAGCTGGCCTTTCAAAGAGCGTGAGTGGGCCTCGGTAGGGGTGTAGGGGCCAGGGGTTCTGTCTGCCTGCCAGCCTGCCCACCTTCATCTGTCCCCTCCACTCCAGGCTCTCCAATGTCAAGAGCAAAGTCCTGAAGGAGTCCAGCAAGAAGGACCAGCTCATCACCAAGTGCAATGGTAGGCGGGAGGCCCGCGCTCCCCCCAACGCGTCCATGCATGGGCTCTTTCCAGTGCCTGTGCCAAGGGCAGGGCTTCACTCCAACTTCTGCCCCTGGCTGAGGATACAGGCAGGCCCAAGCGGGTCACACCTTCGAAAAGGACTTCAGGGACCAGGCAGGCCACGGAAATGAGGGAAGCAGTCGGTGTACAATATTCTTCACAGCCATAAAGGAACGGGCTCGCTCCCCTTTTCCTGAAACATACAACTTCCTTAGTCCACCTTTTGTTTTCCCACTTTTTCTTTTTTTGAGTTGGAGTCTTATTCTGTCGCCCAAGCTGGCATGCAGTGGCACAATCATGGCTCACACAGCCTGAAACTCCTGGGCTAAAGTGAGTCTCCTGCTTTAGCATCCTGAGTAGCTGGACTACAGGTACACCACCACACCTGGCTAATTTTTTTTCTTGTAGAGATGAGGTCTTGATATGTTGCCTAGGCTGGTCTTGAACTCCTGGGCTCAATCAGTCCTCCTGCCTCAGCTGCCCAAAGTGCTGGGATTATAGGTATACGCGACTGTGCCCAGCCTGTTTTCTTACTTTCGATGGATATTAGAAATAGTGCACTTTATTCATAACTCTGTTACAAGAGGAACAAAAGGCAAGCATAGTCCTAAGAGCTGACTCTTAGCCTCAGGGTCAGGGACTGAATAGGGAGGGAAGTACAGTAGTGACGTGGAAAGCCAAGTTTCCCCCAGAAAAGTTTAGCCTTCTGTGGGAATGAGGGCCAGGACTGCCAGATCTTTAAAAAAGAAACTGGAAGCCAAAGTTTTGTTTTTTCTTCTTTTTTTTTTTTTTTGAGTCAGAGTCTCTCTGTCTCCCAGGATGAGTGCGGTGGCACACTCACAGCCACTCCAGTGTTGACCTGCTGGGCTCAGGCGATCCTTCCACTTCAGCCTTCCAAGTAACTGGAACTACAGACACATGCCACCACACCCAGCTAATTTTTAAAAAATTTATTGTAGAGATGAAGTCTCACCAAGTTGTCCAGGTTGGTTTTAAAGCCCTGGACTCAGGCAGTCCTCTCACTTCAGCTTCCCAAAGTGCTAGGATTACAGGCTTGAGCCATCACGCCCGGCCTTTTCTTCTTTCTCAGATGGGTTCTCACTATACTGCCCAGCCTAGTCTCAAACTCCTGGGCTCCAGCAATCTTCTCACCTCAGCCTCCTGAGTAGCTGGGATTATAGGTGCACGTCACAGCGCCCAACATAACCAAGTTTTAATGGAAGGCTTTCTGACTTTTTAGTGTTGGCACATGATTTAGAAACTTGAAAAGTATCGAATGGGCCAAGTGAAATATGTGTGTGGGCCACTAGTTTTCAACTCTGCACTATGGAGGTGCCTGTGGCCCACTTGTTGGCTCAGGTGGTGCCGTGAGTCGTGGGGCAAGTCAGCTACCCAGTGTCCCTGTCCCTCAGGAGCCCTGTTCATTTTCCCCTCATCATACTTGAGAAGTAGACGTGAGTTCCACATGCAGCATCTCTTCATTCCCTGCAGCATATCTTGAGTATGCCAGAGCCCAGGCCTAGGGGGTTCAGGATCCCTCTTGGTGGGGCTTCCGTCTGGAGCCTGGGGCACCCTCCCCCGCCCCAATCCAGCCCTCTTTCCCCCGTGAGCACACTCACTGGGAAGATGCCAGCAGACTGACATCTAGATCTGGCTAGCAGGCCGACAGGCCTCAGAGTACTTTGGCCACTGTCTCTGGCTAGGGCCTCCTGGGGTCTAAGAGGTAGTCACAGGGCAACCCCCTCAAGTCCCCTCCCACTGTGGGAGCTTTTCTGTGCTCTTAATAAATCCTGCTTTATTTTGCTTATTTTTTTTTTTTTTTGAGTTGGAGTCTCACTCTGTCACCCAGACTGGAGTGCAGTGGCCGCTCCCAGCCACCGCAGCCTCGACCTGCTGGGCTCCGGCGATCCTTCTGCCTCAGCCTTCCGAGTAGCTGGAACTACAGGCGCACGCTACCACGCCCGGCTAGTTTTTGATTTATTGTAGAGATGAGGTCTCGCCAAGTTGCCCAGGTGGGTCTCGAACCCGTGGGCTCAGGCAATCCACTCACCTCGGCCTCCCAAAGCGCGGGATTACAGGCTGAGCCCCGAGCCCGGCTAAATCCCACTTTAAAAAAAAAGAGGTAGTCACAGCCTCCATACTCAAGGCCACTGGTCTCCTAGTCCTTTCCCTCTTTCTGGGCATCCTGGAAAGAATGAACCAGGGGTTCTTTCCTGGTGGAGCCAGAGACATCCTTCCTGTGGGGCATTTCCCTCCTACAGAGATCAGCCTGCTTGTGGAAGCTCTGTGTCACGTAGACAGGCCCCCTGGCTACCTCCCCCAGCAGGTGCTGAACCCCTCCAGTGGAGCACAAGCCCTCACCTGAGCCCATCTGCTGATCAGACCTTGAGCGGCCGGAGCCTCCCACCTCACCCCACCCCA